TAAATATTAAAACCTATAAATGCAAACAATTCTGAATGTAGAATCTACAAACAATAATCCTGTGTGTATTTTATGTGCATATAATACATATAATTAGCAAACAATAAGCAAACAATAAACTCACGCATATTTTAAACACAAATTACACAGAGATATGGCATACAGCTGTGCGTTTAATCCCTACAATTATCGAGATTAAGCGCACAGCTGTATGCTAATTGCATGCTATATCTTCGTATATTCTATGCATTTTTTCAAATCAATTTTCCTGATGAACAGGCACTGTTAGTAATTGTGGTCTCATTGGCCAAAGAGCCTTTATTGCTCTGACCAGAATTATAAGTAGTAACAATAACAGCCTTGTTGGCCAGAATCCAACTAATACAACTGGGAATACACCCCAGAATTTATCTAGTACAACTGGAATTATCAATTATGATATCATTGATCATCAGAATCAAACTAATGCTATGAGCTTGAATTATTTGAATAATGACAATAATTATTTTAATCATCATTATCAACAACATTTCAATAATATGACCAGAGGCTAACAAATAAATCACATTACTTTTTTACTTCAAAATATCAAATCTAAATGATAAGCATTGGTCTTAGGTCCTCCTCATATCAATGATTTAGAATTTAATTTTTCTTTTATTTTATTTTTTTGTCAAACAATATTAATGCCAATTATTTATTATTTGTGAATATTCAATAACAAGATTAATTTTTTGTATTTTGACATTAAACAGTTGATAAATTTTTATTGACAACAGGAGAGAACACAAAATTTTAACCCATGCTATTTGTTGATTGACCAATTAAAATTGCGAGTTTGATAAACATAGAAATAAATATTAATATGGGTTTGATTCATTTTGTCAACAATCACTTCACCAACAATTGCTTCATTAACAAATTTAAGAAGTTGGAAGCAACCATTGAAATGTCTAATAAATTAAATTGTACTACTTGAAAATGTATTTAAAGGGTTGGTTTTTGACTTGGTTGAATAATAACTCTCTTCCTAACTCTTCTCTTGACCATATCTCTTGATATAATCAAAATAACCTTAATATAACAAATGTCAAAATGATTGTAAACATGACCAATTTAAGATATATGATCAAGAGGAAACATGAATGATGTATGAGAAAATCAAACAAATTTATTTAATAAAACAAAATTTACAACTCAAAAAATTTTTTTTTGCATGTAATAAAGTTCCATCATTAACTATTAAACCACCTGTATAATTATTTGAATAATTGATAAAACACTCATTAAATATATTTCACAAACAGATTCATAGATCTTGACTTTTAACACTTATTTCAATACAAGCTATTCAATAAATGTTCATCAGTATATTTTACAAACTTGCTTTGGAAGCTTTGTATGTCTGTTGAATTTTATTTTTTTTAGATTACAAAATAAAAATTATGGAATAAATTTAATCCAATGAAATGGTTGGTATCCCATATTTTGCACAACTTGAAAAAAAGTTAATATATAAGTCATAGAATTGGTATAATAGTATCAACCAGGGAAAAGTCATGCAATGATGAAGTACCAGATAAGGTCCTCTGTGTCCAGCTCCCTTAGGTGTAGTGCCTCACTTTGGATCGGCTGTAAAGTCCTGTGTGGTGGAAGGCGGAACTCACATTGGGTGTATTGACCCTTCTATTTTTAATTTTTATTATTTATTTTATTTAGTTAAAAGGAAACATTTAAGAAATTAAAAAAGGATAATTTTGCTAATTGATTTGATTGGTTACATTTGTGCCTCTTCACTGCTTGGTATGTTTTTTATGTGCAGTCTTTCTGTATCTGATTCTTGGTCTGAATCAATATAGTTTGGTGTAATAGGTTTTTGATTTATTTTGTTCTTACTTTCAAATTCCTTTAATCTTTTTGCCAGGCTTTCTTCTGTTTTGTAGCCTTCTTCTTGATCTGAAATTGTGGAATTTGAATCTATATCTTCATATTCCTCCTCTGATTCTTGATTCTCTTTAATATCCTTTTTCTGGTTGCCTTCTGTTGGCTCTTTTTCTTGAATTATTTTACTACTTCCTCCTCTGGAAGTATCACTAGACTTGCTATTAATAAGATAAGGAGTTATCTCTGGCTGCTCACTAATATCTTCTTCTAAAGTTATTCTCAGAATCTGTTACTACTGATGGTTCTGAATCAGTATCTTCAAATAATTTATAGTCCCCATTTAGGTCTGATACTCCTCTACTGGATACTCCATGTTGACTTATATACATCTTTATTCTGCCCTATAATTAGGTTTGTGACCACAATACTCAATTCCAAGTAGTGTGAAGACTATCCTGAAGATTGTGGTCCTGTTGTTGTCACCAAAATGTGAGATCAAAATCCGCGTCTCACACAAATCTCTTGGATTTGGTTAAACTAATATTTATTTTGTTTTATGGCAGTATCCAATTATGTAATTCTTTGATTACTTTCTCTCACTATAGCACTCAAGCTATTTAATTATTTACAGGGCAAGTTTCTTTACTTCCCTTCCAGTAACATTTTCTCAGCAGTTCTTTGTTATCTGCCTGAGCCAGTATGTCTCAATGATATTTATAATATCTGAAGTATCTGCTGTGATACTTTCTACACTGCTTACTATATTTATGGCTCAGTCTCTTAACTGACCTCACCTAGCTAGGATTTCCACTATTTAGGCTTTGGCCTAATCTAAATAAAAATAAAGAAAATAAAATTAAAAGAAAATACACACACCTATACTTATCAAAGGCATCCCCCTGGTAAGATAGTAATTAATTAATAATTAAGTTAGAGTTAAAGGTTTATGTGGT